CGCTCTAACCTGGTGGAGGTATGAACAACAGAGAAGTGAGGACTGAAAGAAGGGTTGCCAGGTAAAGCTATTGGAATCATGGAATCTGCCCTCTTTCCATTTGTTCCATCACTTTTGTCTAAGCCCCTTATCTCACAGCCAGGGTACTACAGTGTACTCTGAAGTAGTTTATTTCCATTTTGTCATCTCAATGCTCTTGGTCTAATATCTAAATTTCTTACCATAGGCTACAAGGAACTGTCATCTTCCTGCTTCTCACTTATATTCAGGTTGGTTAACTTTATTGCCCTCTGGTACACACCATGTATTTTCCAAATCAGGTGCTTCACTCAACCACTTCAATGAGCTGTTTTTATCCTTTGGTCTTGGCTTAGATGCCACCTCCTCACAAGCCCTCTTGACCACCTATTCTAGTATCACACTGCCTTGTGTTTACTTAATGACACTTAGCATCTGTGTTATTTTGTGTGTCTTGCCTGACCTGCACCATAGGGTCAAAAACTCTGTGAAGGCAGAACCATGTCTACTTTGCTATGTTCAGGTTTCCTGGCAGGCGCAGAAAACTAACTGATGAATGAATAAGGAGCACAGGCAGCCTTCTAGTGATAGAAATATATGGTGATTGTGCCGGTTATACCCAAGGTTAGTTAGTCCAGGAGACATTTGAAAATGGGGAGTGGAACTCAAAAAAAAAAAAGCTAGTACTAGAAGTGCAGATTTGGAATTTATCTAGTATGAACCAATGATCAAAGAGGTGGGAGTGGAAATAGAGTTTGTCTGAGGGAAGTTCCAAGGGTAGACATTTTGTGGGGAAATGAACATTGTGGGTAGAAGATTAAGAGGCAACCAAAAGCCGTGAGAGACCATCAGACCTGGAGAAATAGCCAGGAGACATATTTTGTAAGATGACTGAGGGGTGGTGAAAGGCGTACAAGGACCAGTGAGGAAGAGGCAGCAGTGAGTGTCAGAGGTTGCTGAGAACTTGGAGAGATTTGTTTCCATCACTGGTTGTGGGAACCAGGTTTCAGGAGGATGAGGTGTGATTGGAGGACAACCAAGTGGAGGAAGTAAGAGTGAGTTATTCTCACAAATTCTGTGGGCAACGGGGCAGTTATTTTGCTCCATAGGGTAGGATGTCAGAGGATTAAGAAACAGCTGGTGCAGCGTACTTAACTATAGATGATGTAGGCACGCAAGCCTGCAGGTGGGTATCACTGCGTAGATGCATAAGCATTTGAAAGATTGAAAAACCCAGGGTTTGCATCCTGGCATCCTCTTCTGACTGGCAAGTGAGGATGGCATTGTGCAGCCCTTCCCTGACTGTCGGCGGCAAAGTGCCAGTTTTTGAAATTTTTCATTTTTACTCCTGTGGACTGATACTTTTGCTAAAAGTAATAAAATTAATGGCTGTAAAGTAATCATCTCTTGGAAATCGTGCAATGTCAAATTGTTATAAAATCTAAGTGCTTGCTTTCAGTTTCTGCATCTCCTAGGATGGTAATGACCAGCTGTGGGCACCCTCAGGCTGCAGATCTTGCTGTGAGCAGCACTAACGTGGTAGGTGAGGGAGCTGGAGAGTCAGGTTTTTTTCATAAGTGGCCTTCTGGCTCCCCAGACAGGCTAGTAAATTCCAGATTAGGATTGCACAGTGGGTGTGGCAAGCCAATACTAGGAAAAAATGGGGACACTATTATTGTAATGGGGTCAGTAGTCGGGAATATATTTGCCTTTTTCCCTTCTGCTAATACTTCAAGTTATTTGAAATAAAAGAGAACTCTTTAAACATACACAGCTGCTTAAAATATGAAAATTCTTACCAATCAATTCTAAAGCCAGGAAGTAGTTAGGAACATAATCTGAGTATTTAGAGCACGCTGAGTAAATGTTAATGCATGCTAGTTTACGTTATGACATGAATGTTAAGTGGGAAGTCTGAAATTGGATTTCTCTCTGATGATCACCTGGGTCAGAGTATTGCGTGTGTACTTTATTTGTGAGGACATTTTCAGGTATAAGTGACAGGCAAGGGACTCGAGCCAGCTTCAACACAAAGTGGGCATGCACTAGTTTATAAAGAAGTGAGGACTGGCGGGTAAAACTGGCTTTCCATGGCTCCTATGTCAGGGGACCATCAGAACTTGCTCTCAAGATGAGAATTGTCTAAATCGTCGAGGCGGGATAGAATCCTTTAATGTAAGAAAGCTTGTATGAAAACCTGAGACCAGAAAAGGTCAGATAACTAGCCCAGCTCTCGTGGCTTCTCAGGGATACAGGGGTGATTGACCTCGGGTTTTTCTTGCTCAACCATCATGCGACTTCCGCCTCTCTGCCCTGCAGAGTGCATAAAGCCTGCACCGGCAGGGTGTCTAAAGCAGGATGTCATTATTTAAATCTGACATTTTAGTACCGATCTTGTGCTCATAGATTTCAAAAGATTTAAAATGAAGACTTAGCTTCATGCTCATTTGCATTCAGCTGCTATTTATAGTTCGTTAGAGCATCTCATTTTCCAAAGAACTATTTTATTTTCATTCATTCTCGACTTTGGGCAATGTAAAGAACAAAACGAATCATTCTGTTATTAAAGTTAGCGGTACCAAATAATTAATAGTGGAATGCCTGTGTCTTCCTTGATTCTGTATTGTAATTAGGGATTAAATATGTATAGTCAGTCTTGTTTGGACAATGGTACCCATTCCTTTAAGATATAACCATTTAACTCTGGGACAAAAGGAACTGACTGCATGTCCTAGTACATTTTATATTGAACTCATTTAAACTTGCCTGAAAAGTGTGGGCTATTTGTTATGTCACAGGAACACCGTGACATGGAGAATTTTTGTGTGTTGATATTTTGGCCACAGACTTTATCTGGACGAAGTTTCATGTGAGAATGTGTAATGTGTCCTTACTTCCTGGAAGAAGTACACAGACTTGAGTATGCCTGAAACATGTTTAATACACCAAGTTCACATTAAAAACAGCACAAAATCTTTAATTTTTCTCAATGTTGGGTCTGAAGGATTCCAGGCTTTTTTCTCATTTGCTACAACAGTTGTCTTTCAAATCATGCATTGGCAAGATGACAGAGGGCTAGGGACTATCTCTCTGAGCGTATTGTAATCTGAAAATGTGGGTGTGAGTTCCATTACAGCTGGTTTGGCGCTGATAAAACTATATATATAACAATTACAGTTTCTCTCTGTATGGCAAGGTTTGCTGGGTGTCTTACGACCTGTTTACTATCTCAAGTGCAAGTCCAAAAAGATTTCATTTTTTGTAGTAAAAAGTCATTTCCAAAATGACTGGTTAGTCAGAAAACCTATAAGTCACCTAACAGGACTTTGTGTAAAAAAGAGATTTGGTGCTTCTTATAAATTTCCTCTTGAAAGCAAAAGAAATAACACTTTTGTAATAAGGAAGATGTTACTCATTCTCAGCCATTAACCAGTTACCTGGTTTTAACGCTCCAAAATTAGGATTAAAAGTGTACCCAGTGGGCACCAAATAATATGAGACACTGGGGTAGCTGTCCTTTGAGTTACTTGGGAATCACCACCTTAAGGAGCATTGACTTTCATGGATTGAGAGAGTAAGCATGCCTCTATATAGCTAAGAGTAATATGCCAAAGTGAGCAGATGCTGTATCTACTTTTATTTTTATTCAAATGAAAATTAAACCTCTTATTTTTTTCTTTTTTTGGTTAATCCTAAGTATATTTTCCCATTTTTAGAGAGAATGGAAGGGATGGGGAGAGACAGAGAGAGAAACATTGATGTGAGAGGTGCATCGATTGATTGCCTCCTGCATGTGTCCTGACCAGGGCCAGAGATCGAGCCTGCAACTGGGGTATATGTCCTTGGGCAGAATTAAACCCAGACCCTTCAGTCCGTGGGCCTACACTGTTCTACTGAGTCAAACCAGCTAGGGCTAAGCCTCTTATTTATCTTACCTTCCTTTGTAGGAGGAGAAAGCAGTTCATTAAAGGGTGATGTTGGAAACAAAGCTCCAGGAACTCAAAGATGTGACAACAATGGTGCCTTTAAAATGAGGAAGCAAATTCTGCATCCTCAGCTGAATAGGATTGAGGTGGATAACAACTGTAAACAGACCCAGCCTTCTGAACACTTCATTAGTGTAAAAACACAAGAGACAGACCCAAATGAGTTTTTTATTGAACAGTCCCTCTTGGGTTAAAGAAAATAATACAGACTCAGGGCTATAGCATATATATATGTAGTGTTTGAAAATATCCTGATGTGTTTAATGTAAATTCTTAAAATAGTGTATTCAAAGCATTGTATGCATCTCATCCATGATACATATTTGAATAAAGCATAATGAAAAAGACCAACAGAAACTAAATGAATTTTAATAAATCAATAAGAACTGCCAATGGACTCAACTCAACAAAATGTCCTTTTACACTAATCCTTGGTAGTCAAGTCTCCCTGAATTTGGTGCTGATGAGGGCTGGGGAGGGGATGGAGAACCACGGCCTTCCCTACGGCTGTGTCTAGGACCAGAGTCCCAGGGTGGAGTGCTGACCTGGGCTTGACTTCCCAGCAGATTTTCTTGTCCAGCTTGATTCTGTCATATTCTCTTCTCCCTAGATCTCTATCTTCTAAATGTCTTAGCAACACCCTTTCTGTCTACAGAAGAAAAACTCTACATATAAAATTTTATGATTAAAAAAAACCCTTTAAAATACAGAGATAGTGTTTTTATTGAAGAATGGCATGGTAGGTTGTGGGGAAATTTAGAAAAATGTTTTGCATAAGTAAAATATGTTAGAACTGGTTTGAAAACATAAAGATCTAGATGCATGGAGGGAGGTTTTTAAAAACCCAGGTTTGGGACTGCTAGTGAGGCCCCTTTTGCTGCTTGGGCCTTGGTTCTGGTGGGGATCTAGCACTGGAAACGTCATAAGGCTGGCTTCCTAGGAGAATCATGGCAAAAAACAAAGCAAAAATTCTTTCTAGACTTAGTGACCTGTGTATCAGGTATAGGAACCCTCAACCTTACATTCAAATAAATCTGCCACCATTTCCTTTGGGGAATCAGAAGCCAGTATTAGGAAAGAGAAATGTATTAAGAATTTCTCAGTGAATGAAGAAAGCCATCCAACTTCAGTGTTCCTCTTCCTGTCTACCGTCTCCATCTTTTCCAAGAACTGATGACTGAGGAGACTGAACCAAGGACCTAATGCTCCACTAAGGGAAAAGAGATGAGCAAACCATAGCTTCTTGCAAGAGGGGGCAGGCCGGAGAGAATGAGGGGATCTGCTCTCTTTATCTGAGGGGTGTGTTTCCTGCTGCACCCTGGGACTGAGGCACCGGGTCATTTCCAGACACAGTTGTCTCTTCCTAGAGGCCAGGTCTCTGCCTTGCTCCCGGGTGGATGCTCCAAGGGGACACATTTCCGGTGGATACAGGGTGGCTGACACGTTCGTGCTGGAGGAGGACCGGCTGAGGGTGAGGGAGCCCTACTCAGCCTGTGCCCACCACCCATACAGAAAGGATGTCCCCGGCATCCACAAGACCACTGGGCGAATGACACTGCGGAAATGACAACTAGCGAACACGACTTAAAATGCCTTAAACAAACAAGCAAACAAACAATCCAGCCACCGGTGACTCTGGCATCTAGAGTGGGGCCCTGGATACTTGGACCCTTGTTAACAAGGGTGAACGTTGCAGGCTCTGATCTCCTTCTTGTCTTTGCAGCTGGTGAACTGGGAGCTTTTGAACCTCTTCTTGACAGTCATGTAGCGCTCCTGAATCCCTCCTCCGCACAGTTTGGTGCATTCCGACCAGGCTGTCCACGGGCGCATCCGACAGCCTGAAAGCGTGAGAAGCCTGGTTAGGCCACAGGCATTGGGGCAGGACAGGGGTGCTGAGTTCTAGCAAGCAGCTCTCTCCTCTGGTTGTCTGGGCTTCTCTGCTCTTGTATGCAATGAGGTGTTGAATTAAATAATGGTTAGAGTCCCTATTAGGGACTGATAATCCTTAGGTATAGACTGCAAATATTTTCCAGCTCCTCCCCCATCATGGGGCTTGATTATATGACTTGTCAGTGGCTTGAAAAAAAGCTGTTGGGGACCCTTCCACCAGCCTGGTGAGACTGATGGAGAGATCCTTTGGAGAGGCCCCAGCCACCCTATCTGAGGCCCCAGAAATATAGGCGAGGCTGGCGTAGACTTTCCAGCCCCAGGTGAGCCAGCCACTGACGGCAACCACATAAGGAGCTGAAGCTGGACCATAGAAGGTGCATCCAGCTGAGCGAGCCCAAGTCACTGAGCACAGAAACATGTTAACACATGACTTCTAAGCAGCTACCATTTGGGGTGGCTTGTGAATGCAGCAATGATGCAGGTTGCAATGAATCACTTCCTTCTCTTAGGCTTTGCTCCCAGAGTATTTAGCCTCCTTCCCGAATACTAAGTATAAACACAAGTATGATTTATTATTCTTCCTTCATAAATGTGCCTTTCCCAAAGAAAATTTCCCTGAACCTGGATATAAAGTTAGATCTGTATTTTTTTTTTTAAGTTCCCTTGTTTTTCTCCATATGACTGCTTTGTAAAACCAGTCACGTTTACGACCCTTCAACACTATGCTAAGTTTCATAGGGGAGAAGAACATGACATAGTGTCTCATTTGCACGTGGTCAGGTTTAATGAGTGTTGACTGGCCGGCCGACTACCATGTGCAACAGACAGCTTTTTGGTTTGCAAGCAGCTTGCTATCAGAAAGATCATGAGCTGTCAGGTAGCTCCATGTATGTGCATTTCTCATCGCCCTACACGGAATGCGTTAAGGAAGAGAGAAGAAAAGGGTAATGTGAGCTGTGCTTTTAAAAACAGTGTAATGACATACCCTGAACTTCACGTTTATGTAGGCACCTTCCTCACTTACTTTAGGGCAGTGGTTCTCAACCTTTCTAATGCCACGACCCTTTAATACAGTTCCTCCTCTTGTGGTGACTCCCCAACCATAAAATTATTTTCGTTGCTACTCCATAACTGTAATGTTACTACTCTATAGCAGCGGTTCTCAACCTGTGGTTCGCGATCATGTGCCCTTTCCCGCACATTCCGACCACTGGGACCACTCGGTGAGCTCACAATCAATGGCTGGCAAGACACAGAAGGGCATGAGTGCGTCTCATGTCTGAAATAAGATGCGGTCACATACACTGTTGCGACCCACAGGTTGAGAACTGCTAGCAGAGTTGCCTAAGACCATCGGAAAACACAGATATTTGCATTATGATCCATAACAGTAGCAAAATTATAGTTATGAAGTAGTAACGAAAATAATTTTATGGTTGGGGGGTCACCACAACAGGAGGAACTGTATTAAAGGGTTGAGGTATTAGAAAGGTTGAGAACCACTGCTCTAGGGAATCCTAAGACCAGCCATTGGCCTGTACCCACGACTGAACCATGGATCTTCCCATCTCATTGCTTCATGAACTTACTGATGGTTTTGCAGTCTTGCCTGGCATCAGCTTATTCAGCAGTGTAGCCTCAGATGGAGAAATTTTTAAGTCCTAAAACTCCCTCAAGTTATGCTGGAGGAGGGGGCACATAATTTCTCTCCCAGACTACCAATGGAACTTAATAACCGGCCTTTGCGCCTCCTCCAGACCACTCCTGGTGTCTGTGAAAGTCACTCTGGTTTAACACCTTCACCTACAGAACCAAGTCTCCCACCCTCACCGGGCCACTAGCCCTTTCCCGATCTGGTCCCCACAGCTCCAGCCGGGTTTCCTGCCGCTCCCCTTGTGCTCTGCTCCACCTGCGTCCGTCCCGTTGGCTTTGCTTGAACACACCATGGTCTTTGGTATCTCTCTGCCTTTGCAATGACTATTCCTGCTCTAATTGGCAAACGTCTACTGGCTCTTTAAGACCCCCTTGCATTTCCTCTGCTCCATCTCCCCGAAATCCAGCCTCACACGGGAGAACAATACCTGGGAACTGCTCCCCGTCAGACTCTTCCCTCAGCTGCTCGCTCCTCCGGCTCTCCCGGGCCTCTCTCCAGCGCAGCTTCTGGAAGGACGGGTTTCGGCATTTCCGGAGGCGGCACTTTTTCCGCTGCACGGTCTCCGGGCAGGGTGCACCTCCAAACTGCGGCTCCATTTGGATCATCCGGGTCCGAATCATGTGGCCTTTCCCGCATGACTTGTTACATTCCGACCACTGGGACCACTCGGTGAGCTCACAATCAATGGCTGGCAAGACACAGAAGGGTATGAGTGCATCTCATGTCTGAAACAAGATACGGGCATGTACACTCTCCTTGGAAACATCTCAAATCAAGCCTAGGAGCCATGCGGAGCAGGTGCTGTTGTCCCATTTCACAGAAGAGGAAACTGAGGCTCTAAGAGGCAGACTAACTTCATCCAGCCCATATGGGTGGTAAGCAGGAGGGGCAGGATTGGTGCCCAGGCCATAACCTACATTTGACGGTCTCTCTGTGACTCAAGAAGGCTTTAGGGGTGGGGGGAGACTTTGTATTTGTGTACGGAGCCTCTTGCCTTGCTCTGTGAGCTTCTGGCATAGACCTGAATCTGGGCAAGCAGCCTGACTAATAAGGGAGAGGGAGCATAAAAGACGACTGCAAGTGCATTTCGGAGAAAGCCAAAAATCAAACCGCAGCCAAGTGCGTCTGCCTTCCCAACACCTAAAAGAGAAGCTCTCCTGGAAAAGTAGCCAGAAAAGCAGGCTCTCTCCCCTCAGGGTTAGTCCGCGAGTAATGCTGGTCGCAGATTTGGGAGGAGATGGGGTGGGCACTGAGCTTTGGAGAGCTTGACTTGTTTTTCTTACCGAGTCTCACTGACTCCATGTCCACCCTCTGGCCATGGACAAATAAATAGTCAGAAGGAAGAGGAATAAAGTGAAAAGCTTGACTAGCCATTGATTAGACAGCTGCTAATTAGGGATGGGAGTGGGGAGGAAAGGAACTAAGTAAGATTTACTGAGCCTTGTGCAAAGCGTTTTTCATCTCGTCTCCCTTGAAGTTTGCAGATAGATGTGGGATCCTCACTACCAATGAAGAGGCTGAGAGTTTAACCAGTTAACTGCCACGCGCCCCAAACGGAAACCATCCTTGGGTCTATGGACGTTTATTTAAATTACTTTGCTAACACAGAGCCCTGGCTGGTTCAGCTCAGTGGAGAGAGTGTTGGCCTGAAAACTGAAGGGTCCAGGATTCAATTGCAGTCAAGGGCATATACCCGGGTTGCAGGCTCGATCCCCGCCCCCCCCCCCCCCCCCCCCCCCGGCCGCCTAGTTGGGACACATGCAGGAGACAACTCATCGATGTGTTTCTCTCACATCGATGTTTCTCTCTTTCTCCCTCTCCTTCCCACTCTCTAAAAATCAATGGGAAAATATCCTCGGGTTTAGAATTAACAACATATTAACCACTTTGCTAACACAGAAGTTCAAATCCACTCTCTTTCTCCCTCCCCAGCAAACGGTTGGAGATTTCAACCAAGCAGTGTGATCCGGCAAATGGCTGGTTAAATGGCGGGCGTATGGGAGCGCCAGGACTTACGGCATTCGGGCAGCATGCACTTCTCCACCTGCTCCAGCTCCTCATTGCAGTCCCCGAGCTCGGCCAGAGACTTGAGCATCCGCTGGCGGGTCCGCATGCCCTTCCCACAAGTCACGCTGCAGTCGCTCCACTCGGACCACGGGGACAGCAAGCACGGGATGGTGTCTAGACGGAGAGCCAGGTGAGCCACTGAGCGTGAGCCCCCCTTTGCTTTCTTTGATCCCTGTGCCCCCCACTCCCTGTCCTCACTCTTGTCTGTAAAAATAAGGTGAAAGTGACTGATAGATTCAGACACTCAAGTGAACCCCAGAGGCAAGACGTGGCTCACTCTCCTGCAACTCTGCTGGCCCTGCTGGAGGCTGACGTGTCATCACATGACATTGAATACACAAGTAACATGAATATACACGTCCCCACTTGAAACACCACTGAGGGTCTGAGTAAGGTCTTATTAGAGACAGAAACATCCCACACACCCCAGGAACCATACACTAAAAGTTAGGCGCAATGCTGCATTTTTGGACATGTGCTGAATCCCCTAGAATGTGTATGTACGCTGTGCATGTGTACATAGGTGTACTGATGTGAGAGCCTATGTGCATGTGTGCACAGAGCAGGAGTGCAGTGTTTTATGGGGCCAGGCAAATCCAATGTACAGGAGCGGGGAGGCCGAGGATGACCTGGGGAATGCACATGCCACCTTCATGAAGACCCTCTGGGACCCTATAAACATGCTGCGGGTGAATTCTATCCAAACGTCACCAATTTGCCGCCCCAGCATTGCTCAGAGTGGCCCTCAAAGGAGGCCACTCTCTCTGGGCCTGGTTGATGTCCACACAACGATGGCCTTTGTCTGGATCCTAGCAGAGCCCTGCAAGGACAGTGGGATGGAACCTCCCCAACCTCTGACCTTGATGGGGGTGATAGTAAGGAGTGCTGTGGTCCCCCATCCTGCCCCTGTCTCCCTCCCTTACCCCCCCCCCCCCTCCCATGCCCACTCACGGCACTCGGGCATCATGCACTTCTCTGCCTGCGAGGTCTCGGTTTTGCACATGGAGCCATCGGCTGGGCTCATCTTGACCATGCGGTGCCGCTTCTTCATGCCCATCCCGCAGGTGGCGCTGCACTCGTCCCACTCGCCCCACTCGGTCATCAGGCAACTGCTGGAAGCTGCGGAGTCCAGCGGCCTCGGAGTCATCTGTTGCCTCGGGAGCCGGGCCCCTGCCCCGCCCCGCCCTCCCAGCGTCCCTGCACTCACTGCACTCCTCGTTGACCGTGCACTTCTCCGTCTCTTCCGTGGGCAGCATGCACACGGAGCCGTCCTCCGGGAACTGCTTCACGTACCTCTCCCGGGACCGCACGCCCATGCCACAGGAGATGCTGCAGGGCGACCAGGTGATCCACTCGGACATGGTGCAGGTGGACCCTTCTGCAACACACAGAGCAAACGCTGCAGTCTCAGCGCCGTGCGCCAGGGGGCGCGCCAGACACGACGGGCGGCACCCAACTCCTTAAGGGCAGGAATCAAGAGGAACCAGCTGGCTTTCAAAGGGGAGCCAGGCAGTTGAGGATGTAAGGGAACATAAAAGGTCTACATTTTAAAACCAGAAATGTCTCTAAGAGTAAATGAAATGCCTTTTCCAGATACGTGGGGCGCTCAGTGAGGATTACTCCTTACCCACGATATGAAAGACACTTGGATGGTAGAAGGATGACTCTCTCTCTCTCTCTCTCTCTCTCTCTCTCCCTCTCTCTCTCATATATATATATATATATATATATATATATATATATATATATATATATATATATATATATATAAAATAAAATTAAGTGACCAAAACAGCGGAATGACCAGAGACCAGAACAACTACTGCTCCTTGCCCTGGCCAGCCCTGCCCGCTCCCGCCCCCTGCCCCAGCGGAGACCCCCACCACGATCGTGGTCGAGGCTGGCCTGCAAACCATCCATGGCCCCTTGCCCTGTGTAAGCTGTCAGTTCCCAGTCTAGAAAAAGAGATGAGAGAATTTTGTTATTGAAGCAGTGAGCATGACTGGCCTTGAGACATAGGACCTGAGGGCTGATTTGTAACCCAAAGAGCAGATTATATTTAGTGGCCGCAGGCATCTCAAAGCCTCAGTTGAGGTTGGTAACAAAGAAGAGAAGATTTCAGTTGTTAATGGGGAGCAGATGGTTGGGTGGGGAATTGAGAGAGAATGTCTGTGTGTGTCAGGAGAGGGGGACACAGAGGAAGAACGAGGAAGGTAATGGCAGCCAGCCTCGTTGACACCCTGGACTACATACGGCTTTGCTCCCAAGAGTGGGTGTTAGCAAAGACCCTAATCCTGTAGGAGACACTCAGGATGTTGGTGAAAAAGATATCCAACCTCTCAGCATGGCTTGTGGTCCTGTTTCCAATGTGGTGGTATGCTGCTCCAATTGGAAACAGGTGTGTGTATGTGCGTGCGCGCGTGCACGCGTGCTTATTTTAAAAAGAGGAAAATGAAGTCATCCCTCTAACATCTATCCATTTATTATGTCACTGAAGACACTGAATGATTAGGTGAGTACTCTGAGGTTAAAAAGATGTGTAAGATATGGATCTTGTTCTACTTGGAAGAGAGGAGAAAAAGAGAGAGGGGAGAGAGGGAGAGAGAGGCTAGCAATAATTCCGGGCATTGAAAATATGACGACAGAGGTAAGCCCAGGGAATTGGGGAACATAGAAGACAGGGAAAGTCTTCCCTTCTGGGAGTTCTGGGGAAGATTTCACACAAGAAGGCACATCTGAGTGAACTTGGGTGGGAAATGGATATTTGTATTTCAGGTACAGGGAACAGCTTATGCAAACACCCTGCAGAGTGTTTGCACAAGCTGTGTATGGTATAGGGCAGTAGTCGGCAAACTCATTAATCAACAGAGCCAAATACCAACAGTTACAACGATTGAAATTTTTTTTGAGAGCCACATTTTTTAAACTTAAACTTCTTCTAATGCCACTTCTTCAAAATAGACTCGCCCAGGCTGTGGTATTTTGTGGAAGAGCCACATTCAAACGGCCAAAGAGCTGCATGTGACTAGTGATCCACAGTTTGCCGACCACAGGTATAGGGAGCTGAAGCTAGAGAGAAAGACTGAAGTCAGAGTGTGAAGCCAGCCTGCATATGGCCACAGACTGCCACCTGCACATGTGTGGTGCCCACACATTGTCATTTAGTCTTTGGACAGTGTAGCTACACAATCCTGGTGGTGCAGCAGGAAATCATAGCTGGAACCCACGTGAGACCCAGGGACAAAGCTAACTAGAGAGGCATCTACAACCAAATAGGATCATTCTGTTCCGGTGTGATATGGGTGGAGGTTCAGGGCTCGGCAAGCCCCAATCCAGGCTTCCCTTAACCTGGCAAGACGTTTCCCTGAGCAGGAAGAATACTCTCACCACCAACCCGAGGGTCTTGTGAGAGGAAAAGGTTGGCGTCAAGACGCGTCCCCCAGACGTCCTCGGGTGCCTTAACTAACACGTGTTTTCACTGTTGCAGTACAAGGTCCACTGCGTTGGGCCATTGTCCCAGTGCTCATTTTCAGGAGGCCTCCGTCTTGGTTCTCTGCAGAACTATTTTGCCAGTTAATTAAAGTGGAGGAGTTTGCACATTGGGCAATGAGGAGCCACAGAGTTTTCAGCTAAGGAGTGACACGACCAGATCTTCGTTTGCAAAGGACCCTTCTAGTGGTTCCTGGAAGTGGGCAGAGACGATAAGGCCTGGGATAAAGGGCTGGCTCAGGTAATTAGGAAGAAACTCTAAGACTATTTTATCGTGGTTGCACAATAAAATGTGCACTCCTGAGGTCATATAATGACTCCTAAATGTCCAAAGGGGTCCTTGCTTCCTTCCCACTCTAAGTTCTCCTCAAACAACCAGTGCAGAGGGGAGCCTGAGGTGGGCACATGCATTTGACTTTGGGTCAAGTAGCCTCTGGGAACATGGAGCCCGGGTACAATGAGCAGGCATACTTGCAGAAATAGAAAAGCATATCCTTAAATTCACTCTTATCATGGGCACCGTAAACAAGAGACCACCGTGGAAGTGCAGCCAGGAGAGGCGCTTAAAACTGTCCATGGGAAGAGCCAGCTAGTGAATGACGTGCAGTGGATAAGCTTTCTTCAACCATCCTCAGCTTGGAAGTAGTTTTCGTCCTTCCATAAACCAGCTCAGTCTTATCCCTTCCCATTTATCTCACTGCCCCTCTGAGATGGTTAAATCACAGAGCACCGAGTATAGATCTGCCCAGACAGAGAGAGGAATTGTATTCTGGAAAGGAGGCAGCTGACCTTTGCACAGCAATCCAGTTTAGCACCATCTGGAAGCCTGAGCCATCCAGATATAGGAGGCGCAAGCTCATAGTTCTAGCCTGACCTTTGAGCAGTTAGAGAGAGAGAGAGAGAGAGAGAGAGAGAGAGAGAGAGAGAGAGAGAGAAAGAGAGAGAGAAAGAGAGAGAGAGAGAGAGAGAGAAGGAGAAAGAGAGAATTCCTACACACACCCTCCCCGCCAAAGCCCTGACACAAGGAAGCCAGTGCTGTGCCTCAGGCTCAGGCAGGACAGAGAGCCAGAGGGTCCTGACCCAGAATCAGGGCCATGGATCTAGATGCGATCTTGCCCAACCTGCTCATCTGCTTCTTTAAAACAGGCTGGACAGGCTGGAGTTAAGGCCCAGAGCAGGCTGCTTGTTATATGTAATTTGTCATGAGAAGTTTGCTAGCTCTTCAGGAACTTGCATATATTTTCTTCTGTGGCTAGGGAAGGAGGCAGGTGGTCAGTCATTCTCAAGAATTCATTCGATGTCATAAAACTTATTCAGTATTCAGAGACCTGGAGACACTGTTGGAGATGGGGGACTGCCCTAGGTGGACCCCACTGACGACTGCAGTCAGGGTCCTGGTGCCCCACTATGGACCCGGCCTGAGCAGATAGGAGGGGCCGGCATCACCAGGCAGCATTGTTCCCTCCTAAGCGTCAGCCTGCCACCTGCCGGCCTGGGCTGCCTCCTCACCTTCGTCGCTGCAGCCGGGGCCCATGCAGGGCTGGAAGTCCTGGGTGTCGGGGCAGGGGACACTGAGGTCCAGCTGTGCCTTCAGCATGCGCTGCCGCATCCTCTTGCCTTTGTCGCAGGTGGAGGAGCTGCAGGCGGACCATGGGGACCAGTTGGAGTAGATGCAGGTTTCCGGGGTGTCATCTGGGAAGAGTAGGCGACAGACAGGTTTTCCCTGGGAGCCTGTGGCTGCTGAGACTGGCCCTCCCCTCAGACAAGCTCATTGGGAGACAAGAAAGTTCCTGCTGCCTGGCTGGCCTCTGTTAGCCTGGTATTCCTGGGATGGGAGCAAACCAGTCCCTTCCCTTTAAAATCTGTATTTCAGCACTAGTGGCCTGGTGCATGAAATTTGTGCATGGGGGGAGGGGGGGGGGTGTCCCTCAGCCCAGCCTGCACTCTCACCAATCAGGGATATTTCTCTTGCATTCTGGGACCGCTGGCTCCTAACCGCTCACCTGCCTGCTTGCCTGATCACTCCTAACTGCCTCTGCCTATCTGATTTCCCCTAACTCCTCTGCCTGCCTGCCTGATTGCCCCTAACCTCTCTGCCTGCCTGCCTGATCATCCCTAACTGCCTCTGCCTTGCCCCCCACCACCATGGCTTTGTCTGGAAGGAAGTCAGACATTCAGAAGATGGCAAGTTGACCTGGTCTAATTAGATAGATAGAATATATAGAATAGGATTGTTTAAATGGGAGGGAAAAGCCTTTTTCAGCAGGAGGAGATGATCTGGGCAGACAAAAATACATAATCCCTATATCTGGACTGTTAGCCAGCCATATGCACTATACTGCCAAATAGGTCATTAAAAAATTGAACCGCCTTACACCTTACACCAAAAAGCTGTTGCCCTTAAAACCCCTCCTCAGCCCCTATCTTAGGTTATGCTTTCACAGTTCACCCAGATATGTTTCTGACTGGTTGGTTTATATGCCAATTAGCATCTCTAGGCCTATCTCTGGGCCTGATCAGAGAGGTGGAGGCCTGGAGAGAAAGAGGCATGGCTGCCACGGAGGCTATGGATCAGACCTTGCTTCCAAGCCGCTCTCTGGGCCTGATTCGTAGCCCCCTTGGCAGTCAGTGCTGGGTCACCATGCCTGCAACCCAGCACTACTACAGGACTGACTTCCAGTCGGTTGAGCCTTTGGTCATTTTGGACGTTATGAACCCTGGGTTTTTACATATTAGGATCCCATGGGCAGCTAAATAACCTAATAACAAGTAAACATTCTCCTACTATCCCTTTTCCCCTCAACAGATGAATATCTTTCTTTTCCCTCACCATGGCACAGGTGTGGGCATATCACAGGCAATGTGGGGAAGCACAGTTTTTTTTGTTTGTTTGTTTGTTTTGTGTGTGTGTGTGTGTGTGTGTGTGTGTGTGTTGCTGCTTCATCTTCCCAGTGATCATGATACATATACGGGTGTCATGATAAGAGTAAGAGCAGCCTTTGTTCACTAAGCACTTATTATGAGCCAGCGTCATTCTGAGAACCAATCATGTTTTATCCCATTGGAGACTTAACTACTCTCTGAGGCAGGTTCTGTTATTATCCCCATTTTACAGGCGAGGAAATGGTGGCAGAAAGGTGAGTGAGATCCCCTGGCAAAACTTGAGCTGCGGCCACGGCTCTGCCACTTTCTCCCTGAGTCCTGTGGGATCTGGGCCTCACTCTTCTTGCTGGGCGAGTGGCATCACCCACGTCTGCCTCACAGGCCAGTACGACAAGAATCAAAGCAGAGAGAGACCGGAGTACTGTGAAGCCTATGCAAATGCCATTTACATGATCACTTTAAAGGCCTGATGCTGTTGAGTGCCTATTCCAGTATCACACCTTCACCAATCCCCTGAATCTTTGTGCCCTAGTCTTGGCCTTGCTTTGGATTATATCTCTCAAGCAGAAGTCCTCAAAGATGAGATGACCACGTCAAAGGATACAATCATTTGTGGCTTTTAAAGCATGTTAGCAAATTGCTTTCCCAAAAGACGGTGCCAATGTATGTTGCCACTGGCAACGAAGGGAAACATCGTACCTTCGTCTTTCTCTTCCGGAGCCAGGTCTGCTACGATATCATCCACGTTGTCCGGTACGATATTGCATTGCTCCCCCTGCAAGAGGGCTCACATTAAAGAATGGAACGGGTGGGGTGAAGATGAAGGAGGATGTAAAATATAATGCCCACCCTGTGCGAACAAGACGGAGTTCTGGGCCAACATTTACAGTCTGACTGGAAAAAGAAATGGCAATAAAGTCACAGCTTCCAATGCCTGACCCGGGGCAGATATTACTAATTGACTGTGGGACTCATCGTGAACCTGAGTAATTTATATACTAGAAACTTTGGGAGGCCCAGGAATCCTACATCCCGGAATATGCCAGGGACCCCAAGATTCTGGAGCAGAAAGGGGGGCTGTCTCCTGGAACCCTTGGTGGGAAAGGTCTATGCCAGGATGAGCTCTAACCCAGTACCTTCCGGGCGATTCTCTCGATGACAACTCTGGCTACTTGAGTGATGGACCCACCCTCTGGATCGTAAAAAGGACTCTGAGGATGGTCCAGACTGGTCAGGGGCCGGATTTTCTCCTGGGGAATTGTGGGCCTGTTGGGTGACTGCAGTGGGGAAAACAACAACAAAAAAACAGATACAGAGTAGGAAACAGAATTGGTTAAGAACCACAAAAGCAAAAAAAAAAAAAAAAAAAAAAAAAAAAAAATTGTTTGTTTGCTTGCAAAGCAATTTGATTGTAATATGATCAGAACAAAAACCTTGATAGGAATTTAACAAGTTTAACTACTATTTATATTATGGAATTCTATTCCTGCCATGTGTCGTGCATGGAAATTTGTAGGTCTGTACTTTCAGATTCTCTCCCTACACGGTGGGATTATGCACAGATGAAGAAGCCAAATTTCAGAGAGGTCACCACAGCTCGGAAACGGCTGAGCTGGGCTGGCCTGAATCCAGAGCCCTTCCTATGAGCCCAGGCGCTGGCAAACCCTTGTCTGCAGAGGTCAGATGGTAGATATTTTAGGCTTTGTGGGCCAAACCGTGTCTGTCGCAAGGACTGAACTCAGCTGTTAAAGTGAGAAAACAGCCCCAGACAACATGTAACTGAATATGTGAGGCTGGGTTCAAATATTTTATTTTCAAATGAGGTGGTAGGCCGAATTTATCCCATAAACCACAGTCACCATCCCCATCACCTGTTCTCAATTGTTCTAGCCCTGGTTTTCTGATGGCTCCATTTCGATGTTGTTGGTGCACTGGCCATATCTGAGAAATATTGGCATTCAAGGAGAGATTCCAGACTCCTTAGCCTGGCTGTCCAGAAAGCTTTGGCATATGGTCCAGTCCCCACTTTCTTCTCTCTCTCCCTCCTCCCCCCCCCCCCCTCCCCGCCATCTCCCCTCCCCGCTTCCTCCATGCAGTGCCTTTCAACTGCTGTTCCCTTGCTCACCCATGAGCGTCTCTTTAGAAGTTTCCCTCTCTGTGCCCTCCTGACTGGCTGCATGGGCACCGTCCAGAGTCCAAATCAGGACGTGGTGATGAGCCCGTGCTGGCCTCCCCTGCCTCACTGTGAGTTTGTCTAGGGCCCGCCTGGGCCACATTCACCTCTGTGTCCAGGACGCCGAGACAGAGGCGGGCAAGGTTTGTCCCTCACCACTCTAGGCACACACCCACCTCGTAGGTCACCCCGCTGTCCGTGCCCGCGTCCCACGGGATCAGGTCCTGCACCACCTTCTGCACCCAGCCGCACTCCTTGGTGCACAGGTCCTCGGCAGACAGGCCCACGTTCCAGTCGGGGCTGGGGCCCATCATGGTCAGGAAGGACATTAAGTGGCGTGTCCTGTCCACGGAAAATTCAGCCGAGGGTGCTGCTCTCCTGGAAAGCAAACACAGAGACCATTACGTCATGGGGGCCGGGGGTGCACACTCAGGGACATCTGGCCGGACCATGTAAAGCAAGCATGTGAAACTCCTGCAGGTGGCCCACGGTGAATAATTTTTGTGGCCCAGCCAATGTAACAGTATGTAAGAAATGTTTTAATAAAAATTTTGTAACAGCCGAAACCGGTTTGGCTCAGTGGTAGAGCGTCGGTCTGTGGACTGAAAGGTCCCGGGTTCGATTCCGGTCAAGGGCATGTACGTTGGTTGCGGGCACATCCCCGGTGGAGGGTGTGCAAGAGGCAGCTGGTCAATGTTTCTCTCTCATCGATGTTTCTAGCTCTCTATCTCTCTCCCTTCTTCCTCTCTGTAAAATATCAATAAAATATATTTTTAAAAAAAGAAATATAAAAATTTTGTAACAATTTTTACAATATTTTGTTATACATAATTATTGATAACTAATCTCAGTGTTCGATAATGACTGATTATTATAATCGTATTTCATTTACACGCCTCTTGTGCAGGCGCACCATTTCCCTCCACTAATACCAGCAGCGAATATTTTAGCAGCTGACGACCATGTCATTAGTCTTGTACTGACTTGTTTGGTGTGCACAACAGAAATATTTAGCTTTTGGAGAACAACAAAAAAAAATAGGTTTATTTGCGTTATGCTTATTAATTTATGCAGTTATTCAGTGTCTGGTAAGTTAATGTTCAAGAAAAAAATATTAATTTTTATTAAAATGTTTTATTATTTTATGTTAACGATTACTCATTTACGTCAGTCCTTTGTATTGGTGTGTCTCTATGGAAATAAACCCACGTTTCTATGAAAATTGGAGCCTTTGTGTTTTTGCAGCCCCACAAAAACTTAAACCCGGTTTATTTGCCCTGGGTTAGCCTTTGAGTTTGACGTGCTCGGTGGAAAGGAGGAAGGCGGATTCTCCATCTCCCCATGCCTTTGCCCATGAGTGGCTTACACATTCTCTCTCCTGACTTTATCCTTTGGTCACATGTGCTGCCGTCTCATCTACTTTTTATTTATTTTTTTAAATCCTCACTCGAAGGGACCGGTTTGGCTCAATGGATAGAGCGTCAGCTTGGGGACTGAAGGGTCCCGGGTTCGATTCCGGTCAAGGGCATGTACCTTGGTTGCGGGCATATCCTCAGTAGGGGGTGTGCAAGAGGCAGCTGATCGATGACTCTCTCTCATCGATGTTTCTAACTCTCTATCTCTCTCCCTTCCTCTCTGTATAAAATCAATAAAATAAATCCTCACTCGAGTATATTTTTCCATTGATTTTTAGAGAGAGGGGAAGACAGAGAGAAATATCGATGTGAGAGAAACACATCGATTGGTTTGCCTCCTGCATGTCCCCTGGCCAGAGCCCGTGCCCTTGACCAGAATTGAACCTGGGACCCTTCAGTCCGCAGGCCAGTCCTCTATCCACTGAGCTGATCCGGCCAGGGCCTGTGCACTTTCAGTGTGTACACAACACTTACTGTTACTTTATTTGTTTTGCTGTTTATTGACTGGGAGAGGAGGGCTTTTGTCTGCCTTCTTCATGGCTTTCATTCCAGTTCCCGTACACAGTGCCTGGCGCGGAGTAGATGCGCTGTAACTGTTTCTGGATAAATGAGTGAATAAATACTTTGGGCTACACGTGAGCCCAGCTGTGCTGGATGCGAGATGAGCTTCACAAGTAAAAACTGGCTAACCATGCCCGAAGCCCTTTCTTAGACATTCTCACGGAACAGGGTCCCCGACTCCGATTTGTGGATGTGGAAACCCAGGCTCAGAAGGGTTATGCAATTTGTCCAAAGTCACCGAGTGAAGTGGTAGCACGGAGACCGCATCCCAAGTCCATACAAGGCAGGCATCTTTTTCATCATCCATTTCTGAACCCTGCACCCTGCCTATCCCTTCCTCCCTGTATGAAGATCTACCTCAGATCCTGCTGCACCATGGTCCTGCCCCGGCACCGATTCACAGCCGTGTTCTCCTGTGGACCAGCCGGGACCTGGCTACAGAGCCAGGCCCTCTGGCTGACAACCCCTGATCTACAGGAGCCGGTTCTCCAATCCCATCTCCTCGTGCCGCTAAGGAGTCTCAGGAGCGGCCGGGGCTGAAGAGATCAGGGAGGCGGCCACCGAGGGGCCTGGCGGAGGATGAATCAGCCGGCTCACCCTGTGTGGCAGACCTGCGCTATTTTATTTCCCTACCCCCGGAACAATCCTGCGGGGTTAGCATGATTATATGGCTTTGTAGAGAAGAAAGCAAAGCGTATAGAGGATCACGAACTAAGTGACAATGGCGGCCAGGGTTGGAAGGCAGCTCTGCCTCACCCCCAGTGGGTCTGAGCTAGTGCTACCGGGAGCAGCAGGGAATCCTCGGCTGGGGACCAGCTCATCTGTTCAGTCCAGCTGGCAGCTGGGCCACCTCAGCTGTTCGGGAGTCCCTGTGTCCCTCTGGGGGGACCAGCTGCTTCTGGCTGCCCTCACCTGTCTCCGGAAAGCAGGGACTCCAGCCTGGTCAGGTACCACGGCACTGGACGCCTTGGGCCCTGGCAGGCCAGATGGAATCCAACAATGGGCACCACAGAGAGGGAAGCCCGGGGTGCATCCTGGCACTGCCTCTCATGGCTGCATATCCTTGGACAAATTTCCAAACCTTCCTGTGCCTCAGTGTCCAAGTCTATAGCATGGGGATCCCCATGTGGGTTGCTATGAGTTTCAGGGAGATATAGTGCTCACAGTACTCAGCCCAGGAGCTGTTCTCACAATGCCTGTTTCCTTCCCCATGCCCTTGTGTCCTGACAGGCAGCTCAGTGGTTTTAGCAGCTTCCTTAAAGACCTGGTTTCTGGAAGGCCTGCCATCTGGGGAGCTGCGGCATTGTTCACCCAGGGACTAAGAGGACACAGTCTGGGGCCTGCCTTCCATGAAGTGCCCAATAGAGAACACTGGCATCTGGGGGGGCTTCTGTATGCCCCAGTCCTTCTCGGCCCTTGGCCCCTGGAGCCCAGCAGTGCCTTGGAGAGCAGCCTTCCTCTTTCATTGCCAGAGAGACCAACCCTCTACCTATTACCTTCCTGTAAGGTAATAGGTGGCTTTGGGTCAGGTTAGTGGCTCATGTCTCGTTCCTCACTGGTCACACTCTTCACCATGATAACCAAAGGGGACAAAAGCAGCTCTACTGAGGAATCCAGAGCTGGAGAAACCAAACCAAACCAAACCAAACCAAACCAAACCAAACCAAACCAAACCCACCCAACACCCAATGAAGACACTGCCCAGTGATGGGTGCCACCATCTGAGAACCTGGGTTTGATAAGGACTTATGCAAACTGTTCTCTGCAAATGGGTTTCGGCCCAATCTGCAATCTGAGTGAGGGATCCTATAATCCTTGGTATGCATTTCAGGAAGCAGGAAACAGGCAGCATCTGATCCCTGCACACACACCTGCCCTAAAGTTGGATAATCTGGTGTGCTTGAATCTATATGGGCCTAGGAGTGATTTTCTAATCTTTAGTTGCGCTCTTTCTTGAACCTTTGATTGGGAAATTCACCCCCTAACGGACTGCTAGCTAGCTTACATAATTCGGGAAGTACTTCCTGAATTCCTCTCAATTGCTTAGGATCCCGGTGCTCCTTCTCAGAGCAAGGTGAACTAGCATTTCCATGGAGTGTCTTGTTTGATTTCCACCTTCCCTCCTGGGCTCCTAGAGAATAGGGGCCATTTTTGTCTTGGGTAATCCTATACCTCAGATTCTCCTCAAAGAGTTGTTGAAATAAATGGTTTAATCTAAAAAATGAATGTGAAGCTCTTGTATTTCCTTTGACCTTCAAATTTAATTTAAAAATCACCTCGATGTATTTATTACTTCGATAATAAAAATGCTATTTAAACTAATGAAATGGATAAAAATATACGTAAATTTTCCTTAGGAAATGCTAGCTAGATATGACTGGAGTTCTTTAATTTGTCCAAACCATAATTAAAATTCTTACTCATGCTTTCTTATATGCCACATTTCCCCATATTGGCTTCAGTTTTCTATGTGGGATTTAAATTTTAATCAGCTTTCTAGCAAAGAAGTGGTCATATCATATACTGAATATGTGCTAAAGCATGATAATTAAAATGATGTAATATTCAGGATAAGAAATAAATATAAATTAGTGGCATGGACTAGAGTCCCCATGAACTTTAGATTTACTCAAAATTAGGGGGAAAGAAAAGATTGTTCAACAAACGGGGTTTGGCTAACTTAATTGCAACAAAAATATCGTAGTCACATCTAATATCACACACACACACAAATAGCCAGTGTTAAATAGAAAACAACTAGAGCAAAGAAAAAAATGTCAACTCTTCTGATCTGTTAGAGAAAAGTTAATTTTTCATCTTTGCAACAGTAAAAGCAACCACAGAGGTAACTAATTGAATTAGACACCAAATAAAAACTTCTGGGTCATTAAAACAGCAGTATTGAATTAGAGATAGATAATAACATGTTGGTCAAAAGGTCTCCCGCTAGTGTGACTGACAGATGTTAATAACTATTGCATCTCCAGAGCTAATCCAAATCCATAATAGCACAATCTCAAAAGATAAGAGGAAACATTTCTAAACAAAACTTCCAGAAACACCACAAAAGAAAAGAGGCAATGAAGAATTTTATGGGATTCAGGTCACTGGTGACTCAGATCACTCATATGATGCGTTCTGTCTCCTCATCATGTATTTCAAATAGAGATCAGGGGTAAAGGATGAGAGTCAGTAGGCAGCTTTTGGTGTTGCAGAAACTCAATCATACCACTAGAGGGCGATCTATCCATGCACTAGGCTAAAATCCTGGGTCCGTGGGGGAAGGTTTTCGGACTTGGAAAACTGTATATAACCTGGAGGCATTGAGGGCATCGGGTCCATCTGTCTGACTAGATCCCCTAGTCCAGTCTTCCTTTACAATCCCGAGGACATCAGTGGCTC